CTTCTCTGCAGTGAGGGTCAATTTCAGCAGATCTGGAATTAAATTGAGCTGTTTGCTCAAGCTTCTACATGTCATCAATCCATGGTCAGGGTATAAAACATATTGATCAATAGTGTTGCTTTGTTTGTGACCATGTGTCCAAAATGTTTTGAGGCAGATTATCCCAGCTCACCAGCATTGTTTGTTGACAACTGTGAGACTGATAATTTACACCTAGTCTAGGTTAGACCTTGCGAGAGCTCTCCTGTGGAGTCTGGTTATGTTGCAGGAATATACCTAAGTGACCAGTAAAACATAAAGCAATCTTGGTTGGGACTCTGTTTTGGACTACCTACTTCTGAGCTCTTCTGTGTATGTATCAGTAGTCTCTGAGCTGAGAGAGAAAGTGTGTCTGGCTATGGCCCTTAGAGAGGGAGGACGAAGGAGCTCATATCTGACTTCTCTGAACTCCTGGCTGTAAGTGTAGGATAGGATATGCTGCATATTGTAATATTTTTGTTACGTCGTCTCCTCTTCTTGAAATAAGCTGTAGATTTGTAAGCATTGCATTTTGGGTCCCATGAGTCTTCTTTACAAACCAAACTCTGTTTTAAACTGTTATGTTAGTACAACCTCCAAATAGCATAATAGGCAGCAGAAAATTAATGTAAAACCAACTATCACTATATGTCAGAATTTTCTGGATTCTCACAGCTTTTTCACATTAAAGATTCTTAACACCAATTCTGATATAATTATTTACCAAAGTAATAGCTAAATGCAGTTGTGTGCCGATGCAATTCTGACCACAAAATCTAGCCTCTAGTGTGGTGAAATCTGGGTGCTTTGCCTGTGCAGGGCTTATTGAACAGGATAATATATTTATAATAACCTTTTTTTTTTTTTTTTTGAGACGGGATTTCCCTCTTGTTGCCCAGGCTGGAGTGCAATGGCACGATCTTGGTTCACCGCAACATTCGCTTCCTGCATTCAAGCGATTCTCCTGCCTCAGCCTCCCAAGTAGCAGGTATTACACGTGTCCACCATCACACCCAACTAATTTTTTGTATTTTTAGTAGAGACGGGGTTTCACCATGTTAGTCAGGCTGGTCTCGAACTCCTAACCTCAGGTGATCCACCTGCTTCGGCCTCCCAAAGTGCTGAGATAACAAGTGTGTGCCACCGTGCCTGGCCTATAATAACTTTTAACCTATATTTTTAGAATTGTATTCTGTCATTGTTGTGGGTGAATTGTTTTTTAAAAATAAACTAATAAAACCAATAACAATCTCAAAATGCATCAAGTGATCAATACACTCATTAACATAAGCTTTCAATTTTATCACTTAAAAATAATTCAGAAAGAGGCCAGGCATGGTGGCTCACGCCTGTAATCCCAGCACTTTGGGAGGCCGAGGTGGGCGGATCACGAGGTCAGGAGATCAAGACCATCCTGGCTAGCATGGTGAAACCCCGTCTCTACTGAAAATACAAAAAATCAGCCGGGCGTGGTGGCGGGTGCCTGTAGTCCCAGCTACTCGGGAGGCTAAGGCAGGAGAATGGCATGAACCTGGGAGGCAGAGCTTGCAGTGAGCTGAGATCGCACCACTGCACTCCAGGCCTGGGCAACAGAGCAAGACTCTGTCTCAAAAATAAAATAAAATAAAATAAAATAAAATAAAATAAAATAAAAATAATTCAGAAAGAGTTGTGTGACTCAGTTGTTATTGAAGACAGATTGAACTTTGAGGAAAAATGACTCAGGAGAAAGGAGAATGGCTGTTGTTCAGGCAGGGACAGCTGAGATTATTCTGGTAGAGGCCGTCATGGTTACTACTTATAAAAACATGGCTTTGTGAATTATCACCTGAGCTTGTCTTGATGTGTGTTCCTCCTCCAGGAATTTTTAATCCTCCTGGGGAACATGTGCCTTGTCAAGGGGCCAACTCTTTTACATAGGCTTCCTCTAGTGCTTCACCAACACCTGCCTCAGATCCTCACATAAAAAGGTAGAAATTATTTATTGGCTGATGTAAAGCAGTGGTGCTAAGTTAATTGAACACATTGTATTGAAATAAGAAAGACATGGAAAAACAGGTAGCTATGTTATAAAGGCAGAAAACGTTTTAATAAATATATGTAGACTTAAACTTTTTGTCCTCATCTAAGATATTCTTTTTACTGATAGTTAAATAAAATGTTTGGATGTTGTTTGTCTAAATCAATTGTATTTCTTTTATTCTGGAAAATGTTACATTCCACTCCCTTGGAAGAGCCAGATGAAGCATCAGAAAATGACATTTGGTAGGCAGAATGATGTTTTTCTTGGAATAAGAATCATTCTTAAGTGCCAAGATCAACTTGGGCAATGACAATTTCTGATGTCCTTTGTTTTCTTTCTTTTTGTACAGAACTTATTTCCATTGTTTAATTTCCTTACCTTCTTTTTCATCATGAAGAAAACTTCCATCTATAAACCATATGATATTTGCTTTGGGGAATACATTCTTTAGTAAGCAGGTAAATGTTCTCTGGGGTAAAGACAGAAAAAGGGTTATTTGCAAATTCCTAAGAAACTGGTACTCCTTACAACTTACTAACATTCATATAACATAAGTTGGTAAAAACGAGTTTCTCCACTTTTAGCTGAATAAATAGAAGGCAGTGTCTACTTTTAATATAGGTTGTGTTAGAACGTGCACTATAAATGGGTTATCTCCTATAGAGATGTTATAAACTACCGACTATACTCCTAGGTCAACTAAGGGTTAAAGATCTAGGACTATACTGATGTTCCAAGTCTGGATTCTGGGTTATGTTAAAGAGAACTCTTAACTCTGTGTAGGCAGAATAAAATAATACTAAACGGAAACCAAAGAATAGAAGGAAAAAGCAAACAGAGTCAAGAGAAGAATAGTCTGTTAGGTTTAAAGCTCAAGGGGATCTACACATTGTTTCTGTGTCCCAAGTAATGTACAACACCATTTGTAATAACCACAGAAATCAATTTATATAAATATACTGCTTTTTACTTGTGAAGCGTTTTACTAATTTTTAAAAAAATTTTATTGGATTAATCTTGAGGATAGGTAGGGCATGCCTTATTTTTGCCATTTGACAGATGGAAAAATCAAGGCACCCAGTGGTTCAAGGAAGTGGAAAATAATTAATGGCACAATTAGAAATGATGTCTCGTTAATCTCAGTCCAACATATTTTTTAATAAAAACTGTATTGAAATAAAAACATGAAAGAAGTTGCTATGTTATGAAAGCAGAGAACTTAGATGCAGGGCTAGTTATGTTTTATTTTCAATGCTATGTTTGTTCTTTGGGGGATGATACTTTCTTTAACAGTCTGGTGAAAACATCCAGTGAGAATTATTGGATTCCCATTGTTTTATCTGAGACTCTTCAAAATTATAATTCCATTTATAATTACTTGTTTTCTCAAGAGATGTATATATTTTACATATGACGAGCCCGAGTTCTTAGTTCTCAGATATTTTCCACAGTTAATGAATATGCTAGTTAACATGTACAGAACAATTAAATGTATGTGATGATTGGGGTGTCAATCCACAGACTAGTTACTCCTAAGAAGTCTGGGCCTATAGAGCTGAGAAACCACACTCAAGAATGCTAAGTAACATTTTCCTGGTGAAATCCTACAGAAGTTTACCATTTCTCAGTACATTGCTACCGAAATCCCAAAGAAACAAGAGAATTTCAGAGGGGGTTGTCTAGTATATCCAAGATGCTGGGTGACACACACTGTAGCTCCCAATATTCCCATCCATTCAACACTTGCCTTTCCAGATAATGGGGATACATACATGGACCAGGGATGCTATTCTCTCCACTAAAAAATTAAAAGCAAAACCAGATCCTCTAAAATACATTCTTATTAAGTAAAGGAGAGTGTTCAGTTTAATTTAATAGATGCCAAAGATTGATTTTTATCTCCAGTTGGTCCAGGAAGAGATAAAAAGGTATAGGAAATAAAACTTTTTTTGTAAAAAAAGAAAAAGATACAAAGGTTTGCATTAATCCAGTGACATTAACCATTCTCATGATTCATTTCCTTTATCTTTAGTTAACCCACCAAAGATGACGATATGGTAATATCAGGAGTAGGTGGGGGTGTTATTATTTTATGAAGGCAACTGGCTCACTGAAGAACTCTTTTGTTAACTTCTAAAAATGTTGAAAAGATTTGACTTTCATGAATTCTCTAGATTCAGATTTTCTGAAATGGTTCAAATTTCAAATATTCTAGACTCTCTCTAGACTTTGTGTTCCAAGATTTGGTTTAGAAATGTGGTTCATGTTCTAAAACTCCTGCCAGTTTCATTCCTATTTTGAATCTTTTTCCCCCATTTTTTTTTTCTATTTTAACTTAACCGTCAACCTCTACGTATTTTCTGCTGTGCCATTTCTTTTTCTTTTCTTTCTTTTTTTAAATTTTTATATATTTATTTATTTTTTTGAGACAGAGTCTCCCTCTGTCGCCCAGGCTGGAGTGCAGTGGCATGATCTCAGCTCACTGCAACCTCCACTTCCCGGGTTCAAGTGATTCTCTTGCTTCAGGCTCCCGAGTTGCTGGGATTACAGGCATGCACCACCACACCTGGCTAATTTTTGCATTTGTAGTAGAGACGAGGTTTCACAATGTTGGCCAAGCTGGCCACGAACTCCGGACCTCAAGTGATCCACCTGCCTCGGCCTCCCAAAGTGCTGGGATTACAGGCATGAGCCACGGCGCCTGGCCTGCTATGCCATTTCTATCTTTTCTTTTATAACACAAAGTTTTTTTTTCTTCTATTGACGTCTTCTTTAGAGTCTTCCTATCTCCTCTTGGTAGGCTTTCCTTTTCAATCTAAATATGTATACACACACATATATTATGCATATTATATATAATGTATGTATATATATAATCTATATGTGTATACACATTTCATATTTCAGTCTTTCCCATTCTTCTTCCTTCAAATCACTTGCTTTACTTGAGAGGCTAGGTAATCTAGTCTTCAAAAAAGAGAACTAAGACTTGTAGGTGCTTGACTTACTGTATTGCTGCTTGACATATGCCAGGAACATCCTTTTCTTGGTAGTGGAGGGGGTGGAGAAAAGGTTTGCATCTGTGTCTAAGTGTTGCAGAAAAATCCAACAGGCACAGACACACCTACTTGAAAACAATGCTGCCCTAGAAGTGGGAGGAAACCAGAACTGGAGGTGCCCTCCTTCTAGGGGTAGGAGTCAGCTAATAGCCATCCAAGGTGTGCAGGAGTGCTTTCACTCTGCGCTGGAAAGATCAGAGAGAAGTCCAGAGCCTTGCCTGCTTGTAAGTACCCACTTGTGGCTAGGGGGGAATTTCCTAACTGTTCAGGTTGCAAAGCTTGATTAAATAACGCTCTTATTAATTTAAGAAATGACCCAAGAAAGGAGAGAGAAGTCGGGCTGGTTTTAAATGCAACATGATTTTCCATTTACTTATTTATCTTTAAAATGAGTTAAAGAGCAAAACACCTGGAGTCTGGTGCTTCAGGAAGGACTTATTGGCTGTTGGCTTTGCAGGTGTTCCTGCTGGAGAAGGAGTATGGTGAGCTGCTGGCTAAGGACAGCCAGGCAACATCATGTTTGTGAAGATGTGCTCCATCTTCCCCTCTGTGCATCCCAGCTCCTCCTGCTGAAACAGCTGAGCTTGCTTTTCGGATTTCTTAGACTCCTGGCCTCCGAGAGACGCCTCTAAGGACAAACTGATCTTGCATTGGGAACTTTATTATCCAGATCCTCATAGGCTTTGTCTACTCTGGATTGCTTGTTGCAACAGTTTTTAGGAAGCATGATTGTCTCCTACACCAGCATCTGCCTGTGTTTGCTTTTACCTACTCTGAGCAAGACCCAGTGAGGCCATAGCCCTGTTGGTCCTGAAAAGCCTGAAACCTGAGGCTGTTTCTCTTGCCTCCAAAATGCATTTATAGGCAATAAGAAGCACAGAAACAGTGGAAACAAGCAGGAGGAGAAAAAAGAAAACCTAAAATTTTCAATATTCAAAAATACCTGTCGTGGTGGTTGATGCAGAGAACACTGAGTTCATCAAAGAGCTTTGTAATTGTTGGACAGAGAACACCTTTGCTACAGGAACTGATATGTTTTGTCTTTCTGGCCTAGTCAAGGGAGGATAAGTAAGTATCTGGGGCATGGAAGGAATGCACTCTTGGGTCGTTTTGCTTGTATCTGACTCACCCCTGACTCTCCAGTGAAGCAGAAAGGAAGAAACCTCACACCACCCAGGTGTGGCCAGACTTTGGCCATTATTGTGAATCCGCAAGAGTTACCACGGGCCCTTCCCAAATATATATTCAATCTTGTGGTTCAAATAAGCTTTTGGCTCACATCTAGCCACATCATAAAGAACGCTGTAGAAGAGGTGACATGATGAGGCGGGAAGAGGAGGAAGAGGAGGGAGCCATGATGAAGGCAAAAGGGGACTTGGAGATGAAGGAAGAGGAAGAGATTAGTGAGACAGGAGAACTGGTTGGCCCTTTTGTGAGTGCTATGCCCACTCCAACGCCCCACAACAAGGGCACCCGGTTCTCTGAGGCATGGGAGTATTTCCACCTAGCCCCTGCTCGTGCTGGGCACCATCCCAACCAATATGCCACCTGCCGCCTGTGTGGCAGGCAGGTGAGCCGTGGCCCTGGGGTCAATGTGGGCACCACAGCCCTGTGGAAGCATCTGAAAAGTATGCACAGAGAGGAGCTGGAGAAGAGTGGCCATGGTCAGGCCGGGCAGCGCCAGGATCCAAGGCCCCACGGGCCCCAGCTCCCCACGGGCATTGAGGGTGACTGGGGTAGGCTCCTGGAGCAGGTGGGCACAATGGCTTTGTGGGCCAGCCAAAGGGAAAAGGAGGTGCTTAGGAGAGAAATGGCAGTGGAATGGCGGGAGAGGGCTGTGGAAAAAAGGGAACGAGCCTTGGAGGAGGTGGAAAGGGCCATCCTGGAGATGAAGTGGAAGGTGAGGGCTGATAAGGAGGTATGCCAGCAGGAGAAAGAGTTGCCGGCAGCAGTACATGCCTTCCATTTTGTTTAAATTGGGCTTGGAGAATCTATCCTGAAAACATTGACTCTAGACTTGTACAAAAGAGCCACTTTAGTTTCAACTCAAATGTAAAGCAAAGTAGTTTAGTGACATTTTGCTTTTATGTGAAATAGTGCACAGTATGAGTTAATCTGAGCAGGTCTGAATTGACCAGATGCTTCTCTATGAGGTTACTAGAGCTCTGCTGACCCTTGGCCGAAACTCTAAAATGTACCTATTAAAGATAAATGCTGTTACCAAAGTAAAACTCTGTGAGTTGTTTCAGGGCAGAATGTACCAGCCAGTCAGCATTGTTTACCAAAATAATCAGATTTTTGCCTAGCACTCGGTTTTGGTGGAGCTGAAGATTTTGAGGGCTGAGGCTGGTTAAGTAGCTGGAATGTGCCTATGTGACCAGCTCACTTGCAGACACCCTGCAGGAAGCAGAGCTTAATCTTCCTGGGACTGAGGTCTTAGCACATGTACTGGTGGTGCTTCCAGACAGCCAGTATGAATACAAAGCTTGTTCTGTGTGACCCAGCAAGTGGAAGGACAAAGAATTGTGAGCCTCAGATCTTTGGATCCTTGCAATGCGTATCTTTCTCCTGTTATTGCTGCGATGTATTTTCTTGCTTATATTAAAGCTGTTTCATCAGTATAATCTGAGTCCTGTGCATGTTTTTAACAATCTAATGCTTAAACTAATTAATGTGTAATTAGCACAGAGAAATGACAAACCTCTCAACTTACTTGGTTTAAACATTCAGTATAGAGTATATGAAACTTATTCATAAATACTTAAAATATGATCTAATTTCATATTAAGGTTTATCAAGGGAAAAGGAGTTAGTGAGGAAGAGCTGAAATAAACTCAGAATGAAAAAGAAGACAGAGATATAAAGGAAGTAAGGAGAAGTAAAGAACAGAGGAAGGAAAGTTAGAAAGAAATGGGATGAGAAGAAATGCAAAGATGGGGAAGAAAGACAGTGCTCTAGGGAAAATTTATCATGAAAATAGAAGAGAATACGACTGTCTGAATGAGGGAAGGACAGAGTACATTTCTTAGATCCTGAAGTCAATTTGAATGAGTTAACTTGGTTTTGTTTTGCATCCACAGAGCAGTTATCTATTTGAACAGTAGGTTTTAGATTTTACTCACACCTCCAAAATGCTAACTGCATACCAATCCACTGTTCTCTGATTTTTTAAAACTGTTTATCTTTAAATGTTCAGAGATGCTTTGAAAAAAGAGATTCTAACACAATATAGGGAGAGAATAATTTCCTGAGTTGCTGAGAGTATGCCTAAAATATTAATTTAGAAATAGAATAAAATCAAACTGGAAAATACTCTGGCCTTTGCACTGGAGCTGACATTTGTTATGGAAGATAGACTCCTCTGTAACCGTATTGCCCTCCCCAACCAAACACGCATATTAAAAAACAAAACAAAATAAAACAAAATGTGGGTTGGGAATGGGGATGGAGTGGGGAAAGAACTAGGGAAGACAGGAATAGATAAAGACAGCATCCCATTATCTCATAGATAGCCCAGGTACTTTGTGGGCACCAACCTCTCTGAAAGCAGAGGATGTCCTTGTGTAACAATGGTGTCTTGCCTCCTTTGGTCCTGACCTATGTAGTTCACTCATATTCTTCCTAGACTTGCTAGGCAGCCCTAACTTCCAGACCTGTCTTCCCTAAGAGCTGTTTGTAGAACAAACAAAAGTCCAAATACCAGGCTTGTGAAATAACCAGGCTACACTGAAGTCCCATCATGTTCTTTTTTTTATCTAGAGATCTGCCTGATATTAAAGATTTCGTTGTCATATGGTCTCCCCACAGGGGTATGATGTCCTTTTAGAACCTTCTCTATCTGTGGTGCAAGCTCAGGTGCTCACCAGTGCAAGTGACGATGGCTAGACATTTGGACTCAGAACCTTACTGTGTCGCAAAAGATGCTAGAAAAAAAAGGAGGCTGTAATACCTAATCATTTAAAAACCAAAAACCAAAACACATACATTTTGAGTGGGGCTTAGGAAGCCTGAGGAAACCACAGGGTTAAAACTTTGCAAAACCCAAACCAAATAAACACAACTAATCAAATTCTGCACAAAGATGCTGGAGCTCTGCTAATGCCAACCAGTGTGGTTTTTAGATTCTGGTGTCTTCTTTTTTTTTTTTTTTTTTTTTGAGACGGAGTCTCGCTCTGTCACCAGGTTGCAGTGCGGTGGTGTGATCTCAGCTCACCGCAACCTCCATCTCCCAGGTTCAAGCAATTCTCCTGCCTAAGCCTGCCTAATAGCTGGGACTACAGGTGTGAACCACCACACCCAGCTAATTTTTGTGTTTTTAGTTGAGACGGGGTTTCACCAGGTTGGCCAGGATGGTCTGGATCTCTTGACCTCATGATCTGCCCGTCTCAGCCTCCCAAAGTGCTGGGATTACAGTCATGAGACACTGTGCCTGGCCTCTGGTATCTGTTTTACATGGTTATTAATATTGTAGATGCTCTTCCTTTGTAGGCTTCCTAACCCCAAACTGCTTTTGTTTCTTATGCTTCATGACAGGTAGTTTTCTTTAGACTTTTTTCCCCCTAATTTCTTTCAAACATAACAAAAGTAGCAAGTGATATGAACAAGACCCATGGAGATGATGGGGCTAAAGTATAAAGCACAAGCATAAGAGTGAGAGACGTATGAGGCTTGCGGAAAGTGTGAACTGTTGAGTACATGCTAGGGTTTTTATGCATCCCTCTTGTGCCTTCTACGCTACATCATCAGCTGTGAGTTGAGGGCTCTTTGGCTTGACATCTTTTGCTCTAATGCAAAAAACTGCTAAATGGAGGGGCCCTGAAATTTAGGTTAAAGACTCTTTTCTCATTGTAGTGCAGGAGTGAAGCTGTGTGCCATGTTGAAGCCCTGGCAAAATCTCAACTTTGGGAATGCACAAGATACAACATTCACAGGTGTGACACTTTCCTTAGACATCTATGGCAGGTCCAGGCCTGAGGGGCATCATACTTTTGGGTCTTTTGTATTTTACAGAAATACTAAAATTAACCATAAACTTTGTAAGTTTAAAAACACAGGAAGACACAGCTCACAACTGACCAAGTCCCCAGAGTATTTCCACACTGCGGGCTGCTAGTGTAGTGGACAGGTAGCAGAGCCAGTGCGTGCGTGTTGACTTCAACAATTTCTAAGGAATGAAGGAGGGGCAGGAAATTGCCAAGACCAAAAACTTGTGGTTGCTGGATGGTAGGTATTTTGCATACCTTCTCTCACTTCATCCTTATATCACCCTTGTGGGATTGGAACCATTGCCCTCACTTACTGTTGAGGAAGTTAAGGAACTGAGCTCGTAGGGGCCAGAGTTAATAAGTGCTGGAAGAGAACTCAAACCTGGTTCTATCAGATCCCACAGTCTATATTCTGGGTTTAAAAAAATTATTCCACAGTATCTGCTGGAATCAGTCACATAGCTGATTTATGAATGTAAGAGAGTGCGTAAATGATAAATAGTGGGTAGGGAAGAAATATTCCTGAAATGTCTACTCTGTGCCATGAACTTCATTAGAGCATAAATTTAATCTTCCTAAGAACCCTCTGAACTATTTGTTATTATCTCAGTTTTAGATGTGAGTTAGCTGAGGCTTGTGGAGGTTCACTAGTTGATGAGGGTATGTAACCAGCTAAGTAGTTGAATTAGGATTTGACACTTGTGTTATCTGACTCCGAAGCATGATATCCTTTTATCATAATAATACTATTCTGCCTGGATACAGGCACACTAAATATGCATCCCAGCTCTGCCCCTTATTAGTGACTCAGCCAGTTGTTAAGACTTTCCAGGCCCCAATTTCTCATCTGTAAAATGACTGATGCTCTATCTATTTCAGAGGCTCATTGGGAGCAACACAAGATAAAAGTCTGTGAAGGGATTTTGAAGAGTTAATAAATTATTAAAAATACAGCAGGGATTGTAAGAATATTAGAGTGAGGAGTTACTAATGCTTGGCAAGATCTGAAAAGATCCAAAGACAAGCCATGTCCTGTAGCTGGTTATGTGTGATTGGAGAAAGATTATTCACTAATTTTCTAGGAAGGAAAACTCTCTGTTTTTTTTTTTTTTTTTAGTCAGCACTGAAGCAAGGGTAGAGAAGAGGAAATTTTATGGCACACAGGCAAATTTCTTTTTTTTTTTAAACTGGGATTCTTGGATGCAATTTATGGTCCTGTATCTGGATTGTGCCCATATTACATGTAAACTCTGGTACCAAGAATCTATTAGAGATCCTTATAAGAAACAAAAACACCTACCAAAAGCTGTATGATTAGTTTATTTTTGAAATGTAAACTATTGAAATGAAGTTCACTAATAAACTTAGAAATTAAGTTATGACACAACAAAAATGAATTAAGCAATTAAATCTTCTGCTGTATAATCAGGATTATAATAGCAGTGATATGGTTTGGCTGTGTCCCCACGCAAATCTCATCTTGAACTCCCATGTGTTGTGGGAGGGACTCAGTGAGAGGTAATTGAATCATGTGGGGGCAGGTCTTTCCCATGCTGTTTTCGTTACTGTGAATAAGTCTCATGAGATCTGATGGTTATTATAAGGGGCAGTTTTCTTGCACATTCTCTTTTTGCCTGCTGCTATCCATGTGAGATGTCATGTGCTCCACCTTGCCTTTGGCCATGATTGTGAGGCTTCCCCAGCCACATGGAACTATAAGTCCAATTAAACCCTTTTTCCTGTATAAATTACTCAGTCTTGGGTATGTCTTTATCAGCAGTATGAAAATGGACTAATACAGTAAATTGGTATCAGCAGAGTGGGGCGCTGCTGAAAAAATACCCAAAAATGTGGATGCAACTTTGGAACTGGGTAACAGGCAGAGGGTGGAACAATTTAGTGGGTTCAGAAGAAGACAGGAATATATGGGAAAGTTTGGAACTTTGTAGAGACTTGTTGAATGACTTTAACAAAAATGCTGATAGTAATATGAACAATAAGGTCCAGGCTGAGGTGGTCTCAGATGGAGATGAGGAACTTGTTGATAACTGGAGCAAAGGTGACTCTTATTATATTTTAGCAAAGAGACTGGTGGCATTTTGCCCCTACCCTAGAGATCTGTGGAACTTTGAACTTAAGATAGATGATTTAGGATATCTGGCAGAAAAAATTTCTAGGCAGCAAAGCACTCAAGAGGTAACTTGGGCGCTGTTAAAGGCATTCAGTTTCAAAAGAGAAACAGAGAATAAAAGTTTGGAAAATTTGCAGACTGACAATGCGATAGAAAAGAAAATCCCATTTTCTGGGGAGAAATTCAAGCTGGCTGCAGAAATTTGCATAAGCAATGAGGAGCTGAATGTTAATCATCAAGACAATGGGGAAATTGTTTCCAGGGCATGTCAGAGACTTTTGCAGCAGCCCCTCCATCACAGGCCTGAATGTTTAGGAGGAAAAAATGGTTTTGTGGGTGATGCCCAGGGTCCCCATGTTGTGCACAGTCTAGGGACTCAGTGCCCTGTGTCCCAGCCACTCCAGTCATAACTGAAAGGAGCCAAGGTACAACTTGGGTTGTTGCTTCAGAGGGTGGAAGTCTCAAGTCTTGGAAGCTTCCATATGGTGTTGAGCTTGTAGGTGCACAG